TCTCTCTCTCTCTCTCTCTCTCTCCTCTCTCACTCTCTTAAAAAAAAAAATTATCTTCCAAAATTTCAACTGTACACTGAACTTTAAAAAAAAAAAAAAAAACAGAAATTTAATTAGTGCAACTATCACTCTCCTCTCTGACCGTGTACCAATAAGGGCACCAATAGGGCATGTTTTTAACACAGGGAATGCAAATTGGTCTGAAATAATTAGTACACACTGACAAAAGAAAATGTCAATTATTTTAGGAGTTTCTGTACTATTGTTAAGAAGAAATATTTAAGCAACCAAAAAATAAGAGACAATATTGCCTAACTTTTCAGAAAATAAATTTAAAAATTGGGAAAACATCAGAAAATAAGAACTAAGAAAAATCATCTATAAGGCAAATATGATGATAAGTAAAAGAACAGTTAACAAACTGGCTCTATAAATGTACTTAACCTCCCTGGCAGACAGCAATGTAACATATTAATTCTGAATATAATTGCTTCAAGAAGTTTTAAAAGATACATTATTAAATACCTTATATAATTTACATATATTATTATTCAGACTTAACTAAACTAACTATAATCTACTTGACAGACATTTAAAGTAACTTCAAGGGTAAATCTGACAACTCTATAAAATGTAATTCCACTTACTGTGCAATACTTAAACATGTATGTGTGTGCATATATATATAAAATATATGCACTTAATAGAAGAAAAGAAGCTTAAATACGATGGTAAAGTTACAAAACTAATAAAGACACTCAAGTAGTGTGACAGTTATATTAGAGATTTGTTTTGGGGAGTTTGTGAACACAGGCCTCAAGCGTTCTAGGCAAGCACTCTACTCCTGACGTATAACTCCAGTCTCACAATTATACTGAAAAGAGTAGGCTATAAAGGAATGGTTTAGTGTTTTCACTAAATTTTATTATTTTCTCACTTATTTCAAGCACTTTTGGGGGGAGGCGGGTGCAATGCTGGAAATGGAACCAATGGCCTTGTTAGGCAAGCATTCAACCACTGAGCTACAGCTCTGCCTGAGATAATGCTTAAAGCAGGTAAATAATCAGTCATGAGCACATTATTTAAAGATATGGAAATGATCAATGAGCAAACCAATATAGGTATTTGCTGTTAATCTTTTACCTGAAGAAAAGATTGACTGAGATTAGGGCTATCCTCAGCATAGTCTAGTACAAAGTAAAGATTCAATACATGTTACCTATCATTTCCAGTACTTACTATATATGCACAGAAAAAAGGGCTCAAAATAAATATTAGAACTGATACTTTCATTATATGAAGCCTTGATCCATTCTAAGCACTCTACAATTACTAACTAATGAATTGAATTCTATCTAGCTTAGGATAATTCTCTAAAACTCTTAATTCAAATATAGACAGACATTTACCTAATTAAATACATTGAAATAAAATTAAAACTAAAACCAGAAAAAGCATAGATAAAAAAGAAAATCATGGGCTGGGGATGTGGCTCAAGTGGTAGCACGCTTGCCTGGCATGCGAGCAGCCCGAGTTCGATCCTCAGCACCACATACAAACAAAGATGTTGTGTCCGCCAAAAACTAAAAAATAAATATTAAAATTAAAAAAAAAAAAGAAAATCATACTCCCACTTCATTATTTATAATGAACATCAACAGTAGCAGCAATAGTGGTTACAACATAGAACATTAACGCCATGTTACTTTTTTCTTCCAATGTTCTTTTGTACTTTTTCTCGTGTTTTAAATTGTTGCTGCAAATTTGAATTTTATTATTTGAGGGGGTGAGGGAAACTTTTGAGACTACTACTACATACAAAAAGTAACTACTTAAAAGGCCCAAAATTCCAAATTATGTAAATTTATTTTTGTAAACGGAAAAATAGTTGTTTATATATAAACAACAATATATTGTTTTTGATGCTCTGAGATTTTCCTTTGATTCTTTTCTATTGTTCCTGTTTATCCAGTGACAAGTCCCATCTTTCCAAGCATAGAGAGCTTCTTTTCATTTTATAATTATTTTTATAGGTTACCTATAACCCATAAAATAGTTATAGGTTAAGTACATTTATGTGTGTAAAAATAGTTATTTTTAAATAATTATTAAGTATATTTAATAGTTATTAAGTACATATAAGTACTTAATAATAAATACTTAATAAGTACTTAACATATAAGTACTTAATAATAATTATTAAGTACAATAGTATATTAAGTACATTTATATGTGTAAAAATAGTGATTTTTACACATCTAAAAAATGATGGTCAACATAATTTTTTCTTGCAATATTCAGCTGAGGCACAAATAAGGGTCTAATCAAAATTAAAGATGGAAATGCTTAAATTTTCCTACAAATAACTCCATACTGTACACTGAAAAGCATACCATTCTCTATCAACAGGGCTGAATAAGAACTAAATGCTTGATTAAATAAGTATAAAAATTAACCTTACATAGACTGCAGAGAATTAAGCATATAAAGGAAATGAATAAATGTATTTGTGAAATGTATTCATTATCATTCATATCTGTAAATACAAATACTGTAAATAATGTCTAACAAGTTCCTCTTTGTAATGAGGAACAACTTAGCTCCTCACTTGAAGATTCAAATATAGCAAAAGGGGGATCAAAGAAAGGTAGCCAGAAATGAGAAGTCAAAGAAGACACAGAACACTAAGGTTCTCTCTTGACAACCATATTTGTCCTTAAGCCAAGGAAAAGAGGCATACCTAGAAAGGGGATCTCCAGCTCCAAGCTTACCTGTGCATACTCTCTTTCAATAGCAGCCTTCTTCTGACTGAATGTCCTAAAAATACAAACAAAAATTACCAAAAGCATAACTTAATAATTTCATACGAATTTACCAACACAAAATACTGCCTGGTAAGATGTGCAGGAAAATACTGCTACAAGCATGATCATTGCAGTTAGACCTTTTACATTCAAAGCCCAGCTCTACCATTTACCAGAATGATCTTGGGCCAAGTCATGTGATTGATCTGTATCTTAGTTTCCTACTGATAAAATAGGAATACTAAAAGCACTCACTACATAAGGATACTTTAAAACTTAGTTATCTAAAATATAAAAAATACACTAAATAGTGTCTAGCACACAGTAAATTCTATATAAATGTTAGCTATTATTATAAGAATGACTTCGAAAGGGATGAAATTGTTTACTGAATTTAACAACCAACATAGAGGGAACTACAGAAAAAGTGAAAATCAAATTTTGATCAAAGTACAAAATTACTACAAGTTGTAGTAAAAATGGAAGCATAGTTTCCATATGTGTGTAATTTCACAGATTTACTAAGATTCACACTTTTATGTATTAATATTTATGGACAGGTACAGTAGAAAGCACCTGTAGTCTTGACTACTTGAGAGGTTGAAGCTGAAGGATCACTTGAGCTCAACAGTTTGAGGCCAGACTGGGCAACAAAGTGAAACCCTGACTTTAAAAAAAAAATTTTTTTTAAATTTATAATACTGAGATTTCCCTTTTAATTATGATTAGCAGTATTTTCTCCTATTTTAGTGGTACATAAAATAACAGTGTACTTTACAAATTGAGGCATTGAATGATAAATAAAATGTGATGATACGATAATTTACCTTGAATATTCTGAGTTTAAAGACTTCTCTGCTATGTGCCAAGAACCTGTGCTATTAAAATCCCTACAGCCAATGAAACACCACCCACACACACACACACACACATTTCTATTTCAACTCAAATTAATGAGTATATTTTTAATTGTGGGAGTCAGCACCTAAATAAAATATAAGAAAATCTGAAATACTAAGCCTGGCTTATGTCAAATTTTGCTCTATACATAAAAGCTCTCAAAGAGTAAAACAAAATAAATAATCTTCATTGCACTAAGGAGGGATATAAGAGTAGGCAGAGAAAAGAAAGTAAAAAGAACAAAAAAGAGGATGATAGTGAGCTAGAACATAAAAAAAAAAAAGAGCAAAAAGTCAAAACACCACTTGAAAAATTATTTCAATTTCCCTAATGACTGTTAAGAAATGTTAACTATTGGGGCTGGGGTTGTGGCTCAGTGGTAGACTGCACGTCTAGCATGCACGAGGCACTGGGTTGGATCCTCAGCACCAAGTAAATGTAAAATAAAGATTGTGCCCACCTAACACTTAAAAAATATTAAAAAAAGAAAAGAAATAACTATTCAAAATCTTTCTGTATTTGTTTTGAGTTAATAACCAATTTTTAATATTAAAAATAACAAAAGGAAAATGTTGAGAGCCACAGCCAAAGGGGCCCCAGCAAACTTCCAGCTGCCAGCAAATTTCCAGCTGCCGGCTGATGATTGGCTCACAGCGGCCCCAGCAACATCTAGCTGATTGGCTCCTCTACGGTGATGTTCATTGGGCTGTTTCCCTGCCCTTCAGACTGCCAGCTGATGATTGGCTCACAGCGGCCCCAGCAACATCTAGCTGATTGGCTCCTCCACGGAGCTGCTCATTGGGCTGTTTCCCTGCCCTTTCAGACCACGGAGCTGCTCATTGGGGGACTTCTTTGGCTCCGCCCATGCGACCCAGCCAATCGGCCTCAAGAGCAGGAGGATTGGGGGAGGTGGTGAGGTTGGTGTGGGTGAGAGGCTTGTGGAAGCCGGTGGTGGTAGTTGGGCTCTGAGGAGCTGTTTTGTTTGGCCTTTGTAGTTCTAAAAATAAAGTTAGTTTCTTTTGACAAGTGGCTCCTGAATTGTGCCCAGACAGACTGCGGCATTATAAGGTCTCCCTTTAACTAAACCTAAGGACTCATGAATTTTTATTATTATTAACTACCAATAATATTAGCAGGGAATGGTGAAACAAGTCTGTAATCCTAATTACTCAGGAGGATTGCAAGTTTGAGGACAGCCTCAGCAATTTAGCAAGAATTCTATCTCAAAATTAGGCCCCAACCTCCTTAATAAGACTCCTATAGGGGCTGGGGATGTGGCTCAAGTGGTAGCGCGCTCGCCTGGCATGCGTGCAGCCCAGGTTCGATCCTCAGCACCACACATAAAAATAAAGATGTTGTGTCTGCCAAAAACTAAAAAATAAATATTAAAATTCTCTCTCTCTCTCTCAAAAAAGACTCCTATAGCGCAAGAATTAAAACCAAGAATCAATAAATGGGATGGAATCAAACTAAAAAGTTTCTTCTCAGCAAAAGAAACAATCTGTGAGGTGAATAGATAGCCTACAGCTTGGGAGCAAATCTTTACCCCTCACACATCAGATAGAGCACTAATCTCTAGGGTATATAAAGAACTCAAAAAGCTAAACACCAAAAAAACTAATAACCCAATCAATAAATGGGCCAAGGACCTAACAGATACTTCTCAGAAGAGGATATGCAATAAATCAACAATATTTAAAAAAAGGTTCATCATCTCTAGAAATTAGAGAAATGCAAATCAAAACTCCAGCAACTTCAACATAAGCACCTGCTTTGATTATCAACTGTCTCTGACTTGACTGAGGAGCCAAAAGCAATGAATATACTTTGTATATTAGTATTTATATGTGTAGCACAGTGCCTGAACATTTCAGAAGTTCAATGTCTGCTGAATTAATTAAAAAACAAAAACTATGTCATCAGGTTTCACAATCTTCATAAATTTGGATTAAAGAGTTCAATAGGGCCAGGTGCAGTGGTATGTGCCTGTAATCCCAGCAGCTCAGGAGGCAGGAGGATTCCAAGTTTGAAGCCAGCCTCAGCAACTCAGCAAGGCCTTGAGCAACTTAGTGAGACTCTATCTCTAAATTAAAATATTTAAAAAGGGCTGGGAATATGACTCAATGGTTAAGCACCATCGGGTTCAATGCCCAGTACCTAAATAAATAAATAGCTCAATAGGTTAGCTCCAGAGACAGGCAGAGCAACAGCATGGACTGGGGATACAGCTCAATAGTAGAGCACTTGGCTGGCATGCACAAAACCCTGGGTTCAATCCCTAGTACTGACAAAATTTTTTATAAAAGAATCAAGATCCCAATCTATATCCACATGAGCCAGTTAAGTTTCTTAAATTAGTCACAGATTGTAACCATTTTAATTCAATCATTTTGCATATTTTAGCTTTAAAAAAACAAACAGGATAGAAGAATGTGCAGTAAAAGATTAACTGTATCAAAAGAGAGGTCTGACCTCTTTGTCTTTGGTTTCTGGAAGTAAGCTACAAATCCTTGGAATATACTGCTTGATAAGAGTGTTTTTTATTTACCTGGGGACCTTGGGCAATTCCAAATAGTCTATACTAACAATGTGATTTACTGGGGCTGTTGGGATGGCTTTGTGCCACATAGTATCAGCTCAACCTCTGCATAGACTAGAGACTAAAGTCAACAACATAAGCAGTCAATCATGTCTAGGAGACTGAACCCCAATATAAACTCTGCACACCATGGCTCAGATAAGCTTCTCTAACTGACAATACTCTGCACATATTGTCATGCACTGTTGCTCAAGAAGTAAGCACTGTGTCAAGTCTACAGCAAGAGGACAACTGGAATCTGTGACTGGACTCTATTAGACCCTACATAAGGCACCTTTTCCCTTGGCTAATGTTAAACAGAATCCTTTCACTAAAATAAGACAAAATTGAGTAAATTTTCTGTAAGCTCTAAGAGTTCTAACAAATAATAAAATCTGAAAGTGATCTTGAGGCCTCCAAACTTGTAAGATATGTCAGAAGTAAAAGTGTTTTTTTAGGGGGGCGGGGATTAGGGACTGAACTCGAGGGCATTCAGCCACTGAGTCACATCCAGCCCTATTTTGTATTTAGAGATAGGGTCTCACTGAGTTGCTTAGCGCCTGGCTTTTGTTGAGGGTGACTTTGAACCCATGATTCTCCTGCCTCAGTCTTCCAAGCCACTGGGATTACAGGTGTGCCCCACCACACCCAGAGTAAAAGTAGTCTTAAAGACTCCTAACCTGCAGTTGGTATCAGAGTAGTGAAGGGGCAGACTTAGGGACTTACAAATTTATACTTGGTGTCAGAATTGAATACTCCCTAACTCTGTAATGAACCCATTAACTTCATTACCAAGATAAACAGCTAAGAATGCTCAAATTATGAGTGATAGTAGTAGATATGTGGTATCAATAATCATAATAATTAACATTAAAAATAAACATATCCACTAAAATTAAAGATTATAACTATAAAAAAAATCAGTGAAGATGAAGTACAATAAAACCCTAACATGTCACTGTTAGGAAGGTAAAAATGGCAAAACTGCTTTGGGGAAAAGTCTGGCACTTATTATATAATTAAACCTGTATCTATCTATGTACCTATTTGTTTATTTTACTGGGGACTGAATCCAAAGGTGCTTTAACATTAAGCCACATCCCCAGCCATTTTTGTTTTTTTATTCTGAAACAGGGTCTCACTAAGCTGCTTAAGGCCTTGCTAAATTGCTGAGGCTGGGCTCAAATTTGTGATCCTCCTTCCTTGGTCTCCTGAGTCTCTGGGATTACAGGCATGCACCTATAGTCAGTGAACCTGTATCTATCTTGATACAGCTATTCCAGTACCAAGTATTCCTAAGAGAAATAAAAACAGTATCCACACAAGCACTTGTACAAAAACATTTATAACACCTTTAATCATAAATAGTACAGTTGTCCATCAAAGAGACAATGGATAAGCAGTGATATAATTTATAAAGGAATTAAACTTGGCAATAAAAACAAATGAAATACTACATGATGTTACACTGAGTTAGTTAACCTATTATTTTACAAATGACATTGATTAAATATTATAATCATGCTACATTGAGT